AAAAAAATTTTTATTAATATATTTTAAAGTTTTATTATTGCTAAATATTTTTATTTTTTTATTAATTATCATATGATTTATGATAACAGTCAATCAAAATTTTCCAAAAGTAAAAATTTGATAAAGAAAAAAAATCTTTAATGATAATAAAACTTTAAAAATTATATATCCAAAATTTTCGAAAAAAATATAATAAATAAAACTAGTATTAAGATATAATATATATGAATCTTATAATTTTTGATTGTATAATTAAGAATTTAAAAATTTTCTAAGTTGAAATTTATAATAAAAATATAGTAAGTGGACTCAAACTTTTGGAAGCAACTGTATAATAAAACATAATAAGTGAAAGTAATCATATTATAATAAAAATATTAATCTATTGAGAAAAGATTTCAGAATTATTAAATTTTTTGAAGAATTTTAGAATTTTTTTATTTTTATTTTTTATTCTTTTTTTTTAGTAATATATTTGTATAATTTTACATTTCTTTTTCTTTTTTTTTAATATAATTTTTTATCTTGTTAAGTGAAATAAAGAATAATTGACTTTGACTTTGAAAATTGAATAGCAATGAAATAAATAACTAGCAAGATAATTATCCAAAGTACTCATGAAATATTATATTATTTCCATGATTAAACTTAGAGACTTTGGTTTAAAATAAGTTTGTTGATAGGAAAATTAGTTTAACTTGAATTATCCATACTATACAGTATATATAATGCTCAATTATGTCTTGTACTAAATAGTCAATGGATATTGGCCTGACTTAATGGATTATTGCAAAAACTTTTAAGTAGTATTAAATATTACAATTAATGATTGACGTACTGTATTTCACAAAAACATTGTGCAATTTTATTCAAAAAAAATTTTTTTTTGGTATTTTAGGCGGTACATATTTCTTTTTTAAATTTTGCTAGACGACGATCCAATTAAACCAGTTCTATTGTTAAAGGACGAGAGTCAAATCTTTTTCTTTTTGTTAGTAAACCTATCTAGAGCTGTTGGGGGACTGTTATCCTCAACTTCGCCACGCAATCTCTTCCTGCGCGCTTCTTTTTCCTTTTCAATTCGTTGTTGTATCTTTACCTGCAATAACACCAGATGTGATTATAGAAATCACAAACGCAAAGAATTCAAAAAGAAAAGCAATTCAAATACCCTTCGATCGTCAATTATATTCTTTTGTTTTTTACGAAGGTATCTCTTCAAAGAACGGTTTTTACCACGGGTTTTGTGGCGCGGCTCCTTTTTTCCTTTATCTTTGTGTTCTTCCTCCTAATTGTCAGGGTAAAAAAAAAAATGTTAACAGAATGGAAAAATAAATAAGCTCATGCAAATATATTAGTGATTACATGTTCTTTTGCCAGCATCTCCTTTGAAGTTTTATCAATGTTGCCAATAAATGTAGGATCAAGCGTAATCATCTCAGGCTGAATCTAAAATTTGCAAAGTCAATGGTTGTAAGCATCAAACAAAAAAAATTGATTTGGTCATTAAAAATATAAAAGTAGAAATGATGTTTACCTTATCCAAAAGGCCATGTACCTCCGTTTCTTGTCTTTGCCTCTTGGTTTGATAAGGGTTCACCTCCAAACTGTCAATGTTTGGTTCACCAGAACCTATTTATAATAGACGAATTATTTCAGCAATCTGACGCACTGTCACTATTTCCTTTAGTGCCATATGTGATCGATATAAACTCACCCGGAATTAAAATACTCGAAATACCGTCAGAATGACCAAACCCAAGAATATCCTCATAAGGACAAAAATTTATATCCTGTATTTGAGTTCCCGGTTGCAGATGATTCATGTATGGAGATTTTTGCTTTGCTTTAAAGGCATCTTTCCAAACCTTTAATATGAAATGTTTTAATACTCAAGCAATAATAAATAAGTCATGTTAATTTGTACCAAAAAAAAAAAAAAAAACCCAGCAAAATTGCTTACAGTAATGTGAGGACCCCATCCAACACCTAAAAGACCTAGCTGTGATATGGACAATGAGCTGGCCGGAGTTCGAGTAAAGTATTCGTGCATACATTTATACGTTCGTATATCCCATAATTTTAATCGACCATCCAAACCAGCGGATGCCATGTAGCTGCAAATAGCGTTTGAGATTTGGATAAATTTTTTAAGAATCGACGATAAACATCTCAGATATTACTTACTTTCCCGTGTGATCTACCGCAAGAGCTTTTACCGGACCTCGATGTGTTAACATCTTGACCAAAGGTGTTGTCATATTTGGAGACCACAATGTGACGGTACCTGTACGTAATGAATATCAGCTTATGACCGCGATCTTTACTTCCAATTAAATCAAGATGAAGCGATGTATCACCATTACTATGTCCCAAATTAATTATCGCATTCCACAGATTTTGAACCATTACATCACATCGGCCCAATTTTGTCCTACACTCGGCCACCAATTTTCCTGTGGAGGTGTCTTGATACTTCAACCATCCAGCATTTCCCTTAAATAGTATCCCATCAAATGTGAATAGACCACTTTGAAACAAGGAACGAATAAACAAGAATAATTACCACAGACGCCAACAAAAAATGATATGGTAAAAATTCAAGCTTAGTCACGTCGATATGTTTTTTTAGTCGGTGCACCTCGAGTCCATTGTGATCGTATATGAATACGTATTTTTTTTGTGCAGCTGCAAAGAAAAGTTCATTATGTAACCATCTGATGCGAGTAAGAAATCAATGCACATACATTAGAACTTTATAGTTTATGATAACCAGCCATATAATGGAGAAATTTAATACTACTTTACGTCTCGAACGGTCTCTTTGACGTGAATTTCGCAATTCATTTTGTTGGCTTGCCAATCAAGAGTTGCTATGTGACCTTTGTGACCTCCTATTAGCATATTCCTTGATGTGAAGAGTCGGGTATTTTTTAAATTTATTGAATCGAATTAAAACAGTGATCTCATCATCAAAAGAGAAATTACCGTCCATTACGGGTATAATCCAGCGAATATGGTCCAAAAGTTTTTAGATCGAGATTAAATATCTAGGTTTGGATTACGTTTACAATATGAAATTAAATTCATCAAAATCCAATGAAGGCGAAATACTGATGAACTAACCTTTGCGGCAGTAATTTCGTCCACATTTTCTTTCAAACTCTTTTGTGTAATATTAAAAGTTTTTTCTAACCCCTCAGCTTCCAAGTATCTGCATTAATTATTATAATTCTGTAAGATCATTTGGATCATGTTGTTTGCGAACAAGAGTCACCTACCCAGGCTCCTCCGTCAGCAATATCTCATAGCTTGCTGCCTTACGCGCTGCCTCTTGAGAACGTTTCTCGACTCGTTCAAGGGTACCCTTCAATTTTCTGTTTTTTATTTTCTGATAACGCGTATATTTTTGTCAAGTCGAAACCAACGAATTGGGATTAAGTACATCATCATTAATAATTTAGCAGAGGAGAAACACATGCCCTGAGCTGCCTGGCTCCCAACTTTCCCTCGGCCGACCTCACATATTTGGGAACTTTCTTGGTTATTTCTTCTGATAATTCGTTAGAAGTCATTCTTTGATGATTAATTGATTAATTCAATATTTTCATTCGTGATAATCTTTCACGTGACATTTGCTTACGTGCGTGAATCTCGGCAAGGTTATATAAATACTCATCGTATGATAAAGTTTGTATAGAGACAAATAAAGAATGTGATTGGGTAAATAAATAATAGGATCGATCAAGCAAAAAGAATTGTGATATAGAGATGCCTTATGAAAAATATTTAGGTCCTTCAAGGAATGATGGATTTATGAAATTATATTGATGTTTTAAGCATAATTTACTATGATAAATACTTTTTTTTTCATTCTTCAATACATAAGACCAAAATGAATGAAAAAAAAAGATAAAATTAATCGGTAATTGAATCCGAATTTCAAAGACGGGTGAGACCACGTGAACAACCCAAAAATTTTATTGGTATGTTAAAAGAAGAGTGGAAAGCAATTCCATCAAATGTATACAACAGTATAAAACAAATTCAAGTACGTATTAATAATCAAGGGTATTCCAGTTAGATTTGTTTTTATCAATATTTCCGGTTCAGTTAAGTTGCCCGGTGACTTTATTCAACCCAGTGTAAGTTATAGTCACCCTCGTGCATTCCATTTTTCCTTATTCACATTCACCACTATACTCTGCAGTTTTTATCCAGGCAGCTTCTGAACCACATTTGAAATTTCTTTCCACGCGAGAGCGAAGTAATATTACTTTGGTAGAAAGGTGATTTATTCCTGCCGGGTGTTCTCTGAGAACCGTCACCGACGAAATAGACATAATTCTTTTGGTTAAGGTAGGTTAGCCTTTTGATAAGGATCTCTAGAGTAAGCTCGATAAAACGACTCGAGTGCTGAATTCTCTTCAAAAGAAGGTAACGATTCCAGATTATGAGTCCAAAGTACCGAAGGATGTTCGTGAAATCAATGAAACCGGTGTGTTTTTGTATGATCAATATATATTTTACTGTCATTTTTAATCAATCAAACATCATTTGTTTCATTTTCCTCGATTCTCAAGAAATAAACTGATTAATATCGTAAACTCATCTAATTGCGATTTCGCTCTTAATTTTAACATTTTGTCGTTATTTTATAATAATTAACTTTTCTAACGATGAACGATAATGATGCTCATTGGTTGATGGGTACGAACTATTTCGTCACCTTTAAAAGTAATACGACATACCGAACCCTCTTTTGTCCTCGGTTGATTTTTTGATCTAATTATTTCATCATGTGCGCTCCTGCCCTGATTCCAAATTATATCGTTCAAGCTTCTTCTGGTGTTGACTTGTGCGTTTTTTCATCATAGAAATCCAAGTGGGTTGTCGGTAACCCCGAACTCGTAGGAGTCTATAACTCAATTAGGTGATCGCTCTATATCTGACGAGTCCGTTCGCCAGGGATGTTTACTTCTTAAGCATTCGACTTTTTATCATTAATTGTATCCTGGGTGGTAAATGCAGCCTTGATTCGCGTATCAGAAATCACTCGGAGGATTCCTCGCTGCAAATAATTAGGATTAGCGTACATGTCAAAATGAGGTATCAATAATGCTCTTTACTTTTAACTTGGCCCTCTTTTCCCACTTCTTTGTTCGAAGCTTAGGTTGTTATAATTATGAACTCTTATTTTTTTTCTTTATATAACAAATCGCTTATATAAATAAAAGTACCAAAATCGAAATTTCTTTATGTCTACCCTTTCGACCATATGCCAAATCATCAATATGTTGAAGCGTCTAAGTATCATTGCCGAGTGCTCGCGGTAGTGTGCTCCGGTCCTAAGCATATATATACATTTCAAGTTCTCGTGCCCTAATTAATATTTATTCTAACGAGTCGAACTTTCGTCACCTCCTTTGCTTCTTGCAGAAATTCGACGGTGTTGATGACTAAATTTTTGTGCCGTCGGAATCTAAATTTCTCCCGTATCGAGTAGAACGGGCCTGTTGCGTAACTCTGAAGTATCGAACTCGAATGATTTATCGAAAAAAAAAAAAAAGGAAGAATTTCTCGCGTTTCGAATGATCACGAGCTTTATCCGCAGTAGACAGGAGTGACTAAAAAAAAAGCGAGAAATAGCACTGATAATAAATAATTCTGCACACTATAACGAAGATTATTTTTTCACCATAATGTCTCGTAAAAAGGCATCAATCCAAATCGGGTAGCTGAATTTAACATTTCCTCAACTTCCTTAAGACTAACTAACTTGAATTCTCCGCACGATGGTACGATAGTGTTATGACATGATGTGGAACACATTAATGTTGAGATAAATTTTAGATGCTTACAGTAATATCTTAATTATACCTAATATTTCGTTTATACTCGATATCTCTATGCGAATTTTCTAATACTCGATATTTGAAGAGGCGAATTATCCGAATCATCTTCGTGTAAACAAAGAAAGATTATTTTTAAAAAAAAAATCCGCGGAATCCCCAGAATAGAAAGATTGCAAGTGTCGGTGTCAGTGAATGATCTCATTTGTCATTCAATACCAGATGTTCCCATATAGTCAAAACTCGAGAATTTCACAGCAGACACATTCTTTTTATTTTATTTTTTTATTTTTTTATTTTCGTTATTCTCAGGTTATTACGCGAAAAAAGAATCCACACAAGAAATATGCGATAAGATCAGGTGCGAAATAATTATAAAAGGACGTACAGAGGGGGTATCCAAAAATTAAAACCGATAGTAACAAATCATTTTTTTTTTTTTTTTAACCCGCAATCATGTCGAAACGGCTTGTCTTTATTAAGATACTTGAGAAAATATCAAAATAATTCACAGACCTCACAGAATAACTAACTCATCTTTATACATTATTAGTTGAAGGGTTACACTACCTAAAAAATATGAGGTGTCCATTATGCTAGTTTGAATTAAACAAAATTAAATCTCAACTAGATACTCTAAGTCAAATTTAGAGAACAATATTATACTCTCCTAGTAGCTTGGTATAGTGCCTCTAAGTCAATCAGGGTTATTGCCAACAGTTTGTCACTATTGATTATCTCAAAAAACAATGAATTGTTAAAGTTGAAATTGGGAAAGGAGAAAAACAAAAAACAATTTAAAACCTTTCAAAAAATTCTTGCTCCATTTCATAGCCTCTTTTCAAAAGAAGTCTTACTTGATTAGAATATTCTTTTTTATTTCATTTGGACATTGGAAGAAGTCTTTTTTATCACCATCTATAATATCAGATGAGTCTTTATTTAGGTGTGCATCAGATTGTGATAGTTCAAGGGAAACTAAAAGATCTTGGTTTTCATCTTAGAAAGTCTTTTCACTAAATAAGAAATTTAAAGAAAGAATAGAATTTCTTTGTGCAGATTCATCCTATCTTTTGATATCATAACTGTTTTCTGAAAGTTGAATATATACAATTGGAGAGAAACTTCTTCTAAAATTTTCTTTTCTATATTATCTATGATTTAATTAAAACATATGAATATGATAAATAGGAGCTTATTTACTTTTCCTGAAACCAATGTGTTTTAAATAAACCAATTACCTTTGATGAGGATTTGTATTACTCAAAATTCAGGATCAAACTGAAATAAACAAAATTTCTCAAAAAACTATAAAATTAATAGTTTTAAGAAATCCACAAGTGACTAGAAATAAAAAAAATAAGTTTTTTTATTATTAAAAACTTTTATATATCTCTTGCTTTAAAGGTAAAAAAGGGGTTTATTTACTTTATTATTGGTTTTTTTTCTTTAAAACCTTTTTTACTATTAATATCAAAGATATTACTTAATTTGTTCTTAGTCATCATAGGTAAAGATGGATTCCTAAAAGGGGAAGCAGAGACAAAAGTCAAATGTCTCTCATTAGGAAACTTTAAAATTTTTAAATTAATAACTATAAAAAAACTACCTATAATTATTTTTTATTATTCAAATCATTGATTTATAGTATTTCCTGACTTTTGTCCTTATAAAAGTGAAGGGTTATGAATTTTGTTCTTTAAAAAGAAACATAAATGATCTATAAAATTTTATATACTAAATACTTTAGGGACCCATCATTAACCATAGATCAAGTTTTTGATTAAAAAGAATTGTAAACAAGTAAAAAAGGATAAAGATAACTCTTAAAGTCACTCTTCAAAAAGTTTTAAGAAAAGTGTTTAAGACTTTTTAGCAAAGAAATAAAAAAAAACTTCTTGTAAATATCTTTTTTGTATATGGTCAGAGGATTAATAGGACAATATACAAATTTTATAGTAATAAATTATATTTTATTTTTATGATAATAGACAATTATTATTATTTTTTTTTTAAACCCTCTATCAGGCTAGGTATGTGTGCTTTATTAAACATATATATACTTTACATTGAAAATGTATCACTAAAGCTAAGTCTCTACCTAACTCACTCGTC